AAATTTTCTTTTTACATCATTTTTTACATTTTTAAAAAAATCTCAATTGTAATCCTCCTTGGTTTCCCATCACCGAGTCACCTGTGTGCCATCACCATAGTCCCGTGCGCTACCCTCCTCCCCCACCCCCGCTTTTGATCCCATTCCCCACTCCATCCCCACAAAATGTCTCTGGTATATGGCTGTTCATTATTCTTACTATTTTCTCGCCTGGTCTATTATACTCCTGCTATGAGTGAAACCATCCAGTATTTTGCAGAGATTTTTAAAGGGGGCTCAGAAAAAAACCTTATTGTCATCAGGTGTGATCATTTACCCTTTCTTATGTCCAAAAAATGCAAATTTGAGTATCTTTTTTTCTCTGTTTACCTGCTGTTTCTCTGGCTTTGTCTGCTCCTAACATACCACTGAGGGCTAAAAGTAGAAATTGGACCTTCATCTATCAAGAAACAGCTTTGAGAGCAAGCACATTATCTGTGCTTTCTAAAGCAGCCTGAAGGAACTGTGCTACCTTCTTCCCATGCTCACCTCCTAACTCCTCCCAGGGTACAATACTGGACCCTTCCACTGTTTTCAGGTCTCCAAGCTCACCCAATGCCTGTCAGACACACTTGTCCTCCACTAAGGGTCTGTGCTGTTCAGCACTACAGCCACAGCTGCAAGTGACCATGGAGAACCTTGAAATACAGTTACTCTGTCTAGTGACGTACTGAAAGTGTAAAGACTTATGAAAAAAAAAATCTAAAATATTTAACACACTTTGATATTTAAAGTCTCTTACGTGGTTGTATAATATTTCCAGTGGATAGTGCTGTACTAGATATGACGTCCATTTATTCCTTCCCTCCCTCAATTTTTGCTATTTCTCTTTGCCTTGGACTCTTCCTTTCTTCTGGTTACCTCCTGCAATGCTTGAGTCTCTGTGTTGGAGACCCCAGAATAATTTTAAAAGCACACTTTTGGACACTTCATTTGCTTTTCATTGCAGATGATTGGGTGCTTCGCTGTGCCCTTCTTAGGTTGTAAGTTTTTTGAGCACATTATGTTGTCACATACACTTTTACAGTGCCACCCATTCTTAGTGCTGAATGAATTACCACCAATACGGACAGCTGTGCCTCAGCTGTGCCCTGATGACCCCTACTGCCCACAGTGTTGGTGTGCTGGGATGGGTTCTTCCTTGAACCCCAGGAAAAACTTTTCCTCCTGTCATCCTTTCTTTTGATACCTTCATTATGCATCTACTTTTGTGCATCTGCTTCTGTGCTGCCGTGTGTTCTTCTAAATACTGCCACACTGATTTCGGTTTAAAACTACATTATTTCAAACCTGTGAGCTGGCAGTCTCTTAAGCCCGCAATCCCTGTTTTTAAGAGTAGTGTTTTCTTGATAACTCTCCTCAGCCAGAACCTCCTTTGTTGAGTCTTTTTTAAATGCACTAGGTATTTAAACGTCTGGTTCCCTCCTCTAGCTGGTTTTCATACGCCCTGCTCCCTTTTACCACCTTTTAAAGGCCCAAGTATTCAGTTCAGTTTGTTAAACTGAACATGACCCCCAGGCCTTTCCTGGAGCTTATTTTGATTTGCTTTTTATGGAATCTTATAAAAGTTTGTTTGGTTTTAATTTGTTTCTAACAGATTCAACCCCTAACAGGCTGACTCCCAAAAACAGAAGCAAAACTTGAGAAGTGCTGGTTAAGTGTTCTCATTTTCTTCTGAGGGTTTCAGGCTGCAGTGACTCAGAGCGAGATCATTTTGCACCTTCTCTGTCTGCACGCTCACCCACTGGTTGGAAACCTTTTCCTGAGAGACTGCTGTCCACAGGGCGCTCTGCCTGCAGAACGGTTGGCCCCTTCCTGTGCTTGCTGGCTGTGGGAGTTAAAGGAAAGCAGAGATGCAAATGATGGAGAATTGATTTTTTTCCCTATAAAATTTTGATCTTTTGGTTTTCTCTCTTTCTTTTTAAAATTTTGCAGCGTTGCCAAAGCAGATGAGTTTATCATCTCTCAGAGTTAAGTACAGAGTTTGAAACTCCCTCTGGGGACCTGGGGTTGTCAGAGAATGAGCCTGATGCACAGATTAAGTCAACTTCTTGCCCAAAACAGAGACTTCCAGAAGCCATGAAATGATTTACTTGCCTTTTTGATGTTTTTCCCTTTCCTGTTGGCCCAGACTTCACTGAGAGGGTCCTCGAGAGTACCTGCCCTTTGCCCAGACTCTCCTACTCTTCTCTTTGTCTGGGCAGAAGAGCAATATTTTTTCTACTCTTGGTATCGTAAAATGACCTTGCCTTCTCTCCCCTACCCCCTCCTGAAGCTTCCTTATGTCTTTTGGACCTGGAGCAGCTTCCATGCAATACTGAACCAATGTAGTTGATTCCTTTGTTTCCTTTATATCACCTTCATGGATAAATGTAAAAGAGCTTTTGTACGGTTTATTTTGCCACACTAAGGGCTGCTATACTGTTGACATACTCTTAAAGGCTGCCTCTACCTCTGCTTCATCTTTTGTCAAATTCCACTCCTGTCAAATTTTGCTCTTCTCAGGACTGTTCAAAGGCTCCCGTTTTCCTTTGGATGTGGTATAAACACCTGCTGCAGTCAGGTCCCAATATACTTTCATTTCTCTTCACTGTGTGTGTGTTGGGGCGGGGGCAGGGGGGGGTGTGTGGTCAGAGTTTCTTCATTAGATTATGTGATTAGCTAAATCGGGCCACTTGATGTTCTCTGGGCTTTACCTTGTACTTTTATTACCCGTGCATTTGCTTCGAACTACCATCTCCTATCCTGACGAACTAATAAAACCCCATTTGAAATGCCACTTCGTACACACACCTTTCCTTGTCTTCTACAAACAAAATGTGATCTTTCTTGTTTCAAGATAACTCTCTTGTGCCCATCAACCACATTCTCTGACAGGTACTAGAATAATCTGTGCGTAAGATACCTTTGGGAGAATGCTGAAGAAGCTGGTCTACTGCCTTCGGGGAGGAATTCAGTGACTAGGGTACAGGTGAAGGGCTTTTCACACCCTCTGACTTCTGAGGTTTTACACGGTGTGTCCATACTTTACATGCGTTCTTGCCTGTCATATTCCAGTTTGACTACAATTACTTGAAGTGCTTGTCTTTTTACCCTTTTTCAGAGCATAGCAGTGACCCTCCACAGTGATCAATAAAAGTTGAGTTGAAGTGAAATTGAATTGCAAGTCACTCCTTTGCAGGCCTCACTTTTTTCACTAATAAAAAAATGAGTGTTGGGTTACTTCCAAGGCCACACTCAATGGGTCCGTGAAGACTTGGGCTTTATGGCAGATATTCCCCGCAAGGCAGGAGTGACTTCAGAGTCAGCAGTCCCTTCTCAGACCATCTTTCCCAGAACTTTGGGGCTGGAAGGGAATCTCGCCTGCTCTGGGGAGCTTTCTGGTTCTGTTGCACTTTGTTGCCCTGAATAAAACTGAGAAAATGTAAAGGGAAAAGTAGTTTGTTGAGTTTTTTTTGTTTGTTTGTTTTGTTTTGTTTTTTTAAATTCCACTGGCCAGCTCTTTGAACTGCTTGGCCAAAATTTAAAGGTGTACCAGAAAGGGGTATTTCTCTCCCTCCTGTTAAGATTTTGGGGATGGTGGGTAGTGTGGGAAGAGTCTGGAGAAGATGTGTCCTTGGGGCAGGAAGGGCTTATAAAATCTTCTCAGGCTCTTAGATCCTGCGGCACCTAACCCCAACTTTGTTTTGTTAAATCACTTTTAAAAGATAACTTTTCTCCCTGTTTGAATGATAAAGCAGCTTGAGGGTCGGGAGCCATCATCTCTTTCAACCTGATATGGGCCTCCAGCCCAGCTGGCTGGCTGCTTGCTTATTAGCAGTTTAGTTTGTAGGTTAAAGGAAGTGGTGTTTGAGGAGAGGGGTGAGGGCACATCTGTGTGAGAGAGATGTGGGCGTCCTCGAGGGGGACAGTGCTTTATCAGTTGGTGATGCTGTGGTGCAGCGCCCACTCATTACAGGTCTGAAAAACCTGTAGGAAGGAAGTTGAAAAAAGACAACAGTTGTGATTTTCATGCTGCTGCTGGAGTAGAAGCACTGTCTGAAGGTGGAAAAGGGCACAGGTTGTATAAAGTAAGAACTCGACTCTGCCATAAGACAGAAGGTGAAGGTGCTTTTAAGCACATCAGTTCTGCCTGAATGAAAATATGGGGTTTACTATGACATGGAGGTTAGTGGCATGGAGTGGAAGTGCACAGAACTCTTGGGAAGCTCTGGGCCTCTGAGGCTCAGATGGCATATTGTTATCCGGTGGCTTCACTCTGGTGTTGATGCTGGAAGCTTTCCTCATACCGGTTACCAGCAGTTTACTACTTTTCACTGATACATTGTGTGTTTTATTAAAACTAATACTGGGGCCTCCCTGGTGGGTGCAAGGCGTTAAAGCATAGCACTGTGAAGCTTTCTTTAGCCATGTGGCTTACCTCCCAGTCCATCCCCGGACTGGGAAGTGGCCCACACAGCACAGCAGGCCTCTCGTGTGCAGCAGACCTCTCCTGTCTCGCCACTGCTCCCCTCAGCAGTGGATTTCAATAGCTCTGCCTGTCCGCACCCTCTTCTATCCTGGTGAAGCCTCCCTCCTCGCATCCCCCTCCTCCCCAGTTCTTGTGTGCATAAATAAATAAATCTCTTTAAAAAACCACAACAGAATCTGTGTTAAATGTCTGTAAGTTCAAGACTTTAGCCAGAATCTACTGTTCACTTATGGACATAGTTCTCCCGGGGCATAGTTGTGTTTTGGGGGGGGGGGGTGTGGGGCATGGTGGGACAGAGTAGGAAGAGAAATGTTGCAAACAGCTAAACTTCTGCTCATGTCAGCATGTTTCTCTGTTCTCGGCAACCTGAATTGGCTTTTCACTCCTATGTTTCCTGCTGAAGCCTTCAGAATTGTCCTCCTCTGTGCCTTTGACAGAAAGCTCACTGGAAAACCTCACCACTGTATCACTTCTCTTTCTGTCTTTGCAGTGTGTTCCCTGCCCCCGGAGCCAGAGAATGGTGGCTACATCTGCCACCCCCGGCCCTGCAGAGACCCCCTGAACTCAGGCAGCGTCATCGAGTACTTGTGTGCTGAAGGCTACATGTTGAAAGGCGATTACAAATACCTGACTTGTAAGAATGGCGAATGGAAACCAGCCATGGAGATTAGCTGCCATCTCAATGAGGGTCAGTTTGGCCGATTGCTACTGGGGTTCTGCTTTCTTTTAATTCACAGGAAGTGACACTCCCTTCCTCCAGCATACCCTGTGCTATCTAAGGGGCAGTGTAGCACCTTTTTGATGCCTGCAGCCTCCCTTCCTTTGGGGATTCTATGTCTTTGTGAAGGACACTAGGGTTGCTGGTGTGTGTCCCACATTGTTTTCAGCTGAATCACTGAGGGGCTCAGTGCCTTTACCAAGGCGTATCTTCTGCTTTGTAAAGTCCCTTTGATGCCTGGGATCTCTTGTTTGCCTAACCAAGTGCAGTGACCTTTTGCTGTGTTCTGCTAACACATGAGCACAATGTTAACACCTTCTATAGTAGCTCTTTTATATATATTTTTTCCTTGAATGGAAATGGACTGTTTTGTTATGGAACTACATCCAGCTGGACAGACTTCCCCCCCTGCCGCCTCCTCCAGTAGAGCATGACAGGAAAATTCAGCTGCCTGCAGCTGTCTTTGTGCCTTACATTTGGGCTCCCAAACTGTGACATCCAGAGTAGGGTGGCGACCAGCCTGAGGTTTATAATTAATGCTACAGGATCTTAGAACATGGGATTAGTACAGCTCAGTTCTTACAGTTTTCCTTCCACACAAGGAAGAACAGGAGTGGAACGTAAGATGGTGGGATGGTTAATGTTTACCAACCAGTTATTGAGAATAGGATCACGAGTAGTTTATAAAGGTAAGATCTTCAGGGGTAGAAGACTTTGGTGTCAGATGGTCTTCTAAGGCCCTGAGGTCAAGGAAAGTTTAGATTTAGGAACAGGGAAATGGCCCCTTTCATGGTGTGTAAAAATCACACTGCTCATTCATTCCTAATGCCCCAGACTGCTACACACTTCTTTGATTCCATGCAAAGGATTCTTGACAAGAACTCCTGTGGAGCTTGTGTTCTATGTGTTTCAGTACAAAACACTCCTGACGATGACTTGTTTCTGCAGAAAAAGATGCTCACACGTCACTTGGCGTTCCCACACTGTCCATAGTGGCCTCCACTGCCAGCTCCGTGGCGCTCATTCTCCTCCTCGTGGTGCTGTTTGTACTGCTGCAGCCAAAGCTGAAGTCTTTTCATCACAGCAGGTGAGCCCAAAGGCAGTAGGCATCGACTTAGCTGTGGGGAGCTGGCCTTTGACTGGCAGATGGCTGCTGGTGAGCCTGCTGGCTTCTGCTGATCTGTGTGTGTCCAGGGAAAAGGGGTGGGGAGAACGTGCATGTGTTAAACTTTTGGATGTGCCTGGCATTGTGCTTGTTTTTTCATATATTAATATTCACAGGAACAGTACAGATAAGGAAACTGACACTCAGAGAAGTTAAAAGCCATTCATTCAAGACCATCCCTCTAGGTGATGACAGAGTTGCGATTTGGCCTCATATCTGTCCAACTCCAAAAGCCATGTCATTTCCCTTGGTCCTCAGAGTGTGGTTCCAGGAGCAGCAGTCCCATCACCCTGGCAGTCTGTTAGGAATGCAGAATTTTACATTCTACTCAGACTAGTGGAATGCGTTCTGGGGCTGAGACCCAGTGATAATGGTTTCACAAGCCCTCCAGGTGATTCTGATGCACACTCTTGCTTGTAAGCCACAGCCCTTCCCCCTGCTTCCCAGTCCTGGCTATACATAGGAGCCACTGTGGACCCTTAAAAACAAATACCAATACCTGGGTCTCTACCCACAGACATCAGATTTATTTGGTTTAGAGTGGGAGCCTGGCATTAGTGGTGTTCATAAAACTTCCCTGTTCTTGTGCAGACAGGATTGGCGACCTCTGAATTATACCAAACTGGAATCAGAGGAAGTGATTTTCTTGTCTGCCATTATCATTTTCCAGTGGGGCGCATTAGTGCACATCACCCCAGACTGAATGGGTGAGGTTGGGTGGTGGTGGTGGTGGTGGTGGTGGGGTGACAAACGGTGGCGAGCCCGCCCTGTGTGGATCCTTACGTGTTCTTCTCTCCCAACCTCTGCAATTGCTGAGCTTGCTGTGGCAGCTCTCCATACTGTCTGAGGAAAGTGGTTTTGTAGTCATTCACAGCCCTTCATCAGTCACTGTTGTCATTCACAGGAATGAGGGAACAAACTAAATTGCCTTAAATGAAATGCTCCTGCTTTGGAATTTACAGATAAGGAGCAGGTTATATTTGATCTCTATGCACTTTGTGTGATTTTTCTTTGTATTTTGTTTTGTTTGGAGGAGGGGTAGGGTAGCAGCTATTTTTAGTTGTTAAATAGTACAATAAAAAAGATTGAAGGGGAATATTTACTTTAAAGCATCAGCTATTTTCACACAAAGTCAAGCTGATCATGTAGCTTTTCATCTGAATTAGGGAGAATTCCCCCTTGCAGTTAACTAGTAAGGTTGTTAAAAACAACCTGCTGGGACCCTCCCTGGTGTCTGCATGCCTGGTGGTGCAGAGGGTTAAAGCACAGCACTGCAAGCCATCCCTGGCCCCAGAGGTGATCCACATGGTGTGGCAGACCTCTGCCCATGTGGCTCCCCTCAGCAGTATGCTTCCTCAGAAGTCTGCCTGTTCTGTTCCCCACTCTGACTCTGTTGAATCCTCACACCGCCCTCAGCCTCTAGCCTGAACCCCAGTTCTGTATGAGTAAATAAACAAAAATCTTAAAAAAAAAAAAAAAGCTGATTTTGCCTGACTTGAGTGGAAAGGAAATTTAGTTTTCACTATAGATAGGCTCTGTGAAAATTTTGAACTGTGTTCATGTATTCCTTTCAAACAAAATTTTATTTTGACTGACAAAAGTTAAGCATATGCCAGGATACACACTGCTTTCTGTGTCATCTTGCCATCGTTTCCTTCCTTTTAAAAACTTCTGAGCACTTTATATTACCACTTAATGTGATCCTCATAGTATGTATACCATTTGATGATGAAGATGAGGCAGTTGAGAAGCACTAACACAGTCTAGGGGTAACACAGACCCACCATAGACCACGTCTCTTGATGGGGTGCACTGAGGAGACATAGCATCATCACCTGTGCAGTGCTCTCAGCAAAACGTTGACTTGGCTCTAATCCCGAGGAAACAGTTAGCCAAGTCCAGATTGTAGGACATTGTAGAACATAGCTGACCAGAGCTGTAGGAAAAAATGTGAATGTCATGAAAGAAAAGCGAAGTGGACACTGTCTGATTTTTTAAGAAACGATTTATTTTTGCATACAAAAACTGGGGTATAGGTCAGAGGTGCATGGGTTGAGAGGATCCACCAGAGACAAAGTGGGGAGCAGGACAGGCAGATCTACTGAAATACACTGCTGAGGGGAGCAGCAGGTGAGACAGGAGAAGTCTGCTGCGCCATGTGGGTCAGCTCCCTGGCCAGTGATTGAACTTGTGCGGTAGTGGCTGCAGACAGCCTCGTTGTGCTTTGCTTTAAACCCTTGTACCACCAGGGAGGCCCCGGCTGTCTAGATTAAAGGAGATGAAAGAGACAGCACAATTACACATAACACATGACCCTTAATTTGGTCCTGGATGCAAATAAACCTGACAGCAGTTGAAATGAATCTATTTTTGGATAGTTGGAAAAATTTTTATTACAGTATTATACCAGTGTTACATATCTGGGATGTAAAATATTGTAGTTACATAGGACAGGAGGTTCTTCGGCAGTGCATGCTAAATAACATCTTCAATTTACTATCAGAATGGTTTGAAGAGAAAAAATACATATGTGGATGACAAAAGTGACCTCCAAAAAGGTGTCTGCATGCCTAAATCTCATAAAGTTGAATAAAAGACACCCATACACAGTTCATTAATATAAAGGTCAAAAACTTGTAAAACTAAACTGACGTGGAAGGATTTAGGTTTAAGCAGTGAAACTATTAAAAAACAAAGGGGTGATTTTCATGAAATCAAGATAGTGGTTGCTTTTAGTGGTGAGGAATAGGAAGTGACTGGGACAGGGCTGTGTGGGGTGTTGACAGTGCTGCTTCTTGACCCACATAAGGTTTATACACCAGTGTTACCTGAGGGATAAATCAGCTGTACATTTTTCTGTGTGATCATTTTTATATTTGGGCTGTAATTCACACATAATATTTTAAAAAGTACCCCAAAAAAGAAAGAGTGAAAGGCTGGCAAAGTCAAGGCCACAGCTCCTCTGGTCAAGACTACAGCTCTTCTTTCCTCTCATTTTTTTCTAAATGGCTTCTTTTTTAAAAAAAGTTTTATTTATTTGTGCATACAGAGCTGGGGGGGCAGGCCAGAGGTGCAGGGGCAGTGGGAGGATTCACCAGAGACAGAGTGGGGAGCAGAACAGGCAGATTGACAAAGAACACTGCTGGGGGGAGCAGCAGGCGGGCCAGGAGAGGTCTGCCACGCCATGTGGTCACCTCCAGGGCAGGCGGGAATCGAACTCATGCGGAAGTGGCTTTAGTTTCCTAGTGCTGTGCTTTAACCCGCTGTGCCACCAAGGAGGGCACTAAAATGGCTTTTATAGATAACACCTCACATACATACGACATATAAGTATAATGTACCAACAGTAGTTTTTGCATATTCATAGATTTGTGCAGCCATCATTCTTGCTCTCATTTTTGTGCAGATGAATGACTTTATTTACAAGTGTCTTAAGTGCCTGGGCTTTGCACAGGACCAGAGGGCAAGATCTTGTGTTTCCAGAGATTAAGAACACAGTCTCTGGAAGCAGGCACAACTGGATTGACATCCCAGCATCCCTTACCAGCTGTGTGACTGTGCACAAATAACTTCTCTGAGTCTCATCTGCATTTTTGGTGAACTACTCAGGTTAAGGATACAATGGGATTAAGTATATAAACCCTTGTGCTATGTCTGGCACACAGTTAGTGCTCAAACTAGGTTGGGGTTATTGGTATTACTGCATTTATTTGTTCTCTGTGTTTTAATTTTTCCTTTCTCTTTTCCTCCTCTGGATGCAGGCGTGACCAGGGTGTATCTGGGGACCAGGTCTCCATCATGGTGGATGGAGTCCAGGTTGCACTACCATCATATGAGGAAGCTGTGTATGGCAGTTCTGGTCATTGTGTGCCACCTGCTGACCCCCGAGTACAAATTGTGCTGTCAGAAGGGTCTGGGCCCAGTGGGAGGAATGTGCCGAGGGAGCAGCAGCTGCAGGACCAGGAAGCCTGCTCCTTTGCAGGTGGAGAGGAGGAGACCCCAGGCCAGTCTGGACTAAGTGAAGCCTGGGGCTCCCAGGGCTCAGAGACTGTGATGGTGCATCAGGCAACCAGCTCTTCCTGGGTGGCCGGCTCAGGGAACAGCCGACTGGCGCACAAAGAAGGCCCAGATTCGGAGAACAGTGACATACAAAGCCTTTTATCTCTCACGTCGGAGGACTACACAGATGGTAAGTGGTCTGTGCGGATCATGAATTTTTAGCTGCTCAGGATCCTTGCTGGGAGTGAGAACTATGAGCTTCACTCATAATTGGTATATTTGGGTGCAAAGAAAAATACTACTGGCATAAGATAGGATTTTAGCCTGAGAGCTCCAGTGGAGCTTTGGACTTGTTAGGGAGAATTTTCACTGTTTTCTGTGAATTTTGGAGTGTCTCTAACTTATTTGTGGCCACAGATCTGTGTGCTGAATCAAAGGATAGACAGCTGATTGGAATCAGGGCTGGGTTCTGTCCTTTTGTTACTCTCTTTATGTTTCTAAAAGAGCATTTAACTACTTTTTTAAGTAGGAGTATATTGAGTCCTATACTAATTGGTTTTCTTGCATTATCTCACTTAAACCTCAGCATATACATAGCCATAGGTATTATATTGTTGCCACTACCATTTTACAGATGAGAAATCTGAGGCTCAAAGAGGGCAAGCCCCCTGAGCAAGTGGCTGACCTGGGACTTGACACCTGATGGGTCTGGCCCAAAGCCTGCCTGTATAGCCCGGTGCCATGGAGCCTGGGTACTTTGTGGCAAACCAGCACAGGACAAAATTGCCATTTCCTGACACCCCTGTCTTTGCCTGAATCTGGAGGGTGGAATGTGGGGATTATTTCTCTAATTTGAAAATAAACCTTGGCATAAAATCTCAGTGTGATTCAGATGGCAGAATAGATAATTTTCTTTTGACAGTGAGTGAGGACTGTACTTACCAAACCCTCCTAAAAGAACCACAGCAAACTTTAAGCTGCTGGTAATCCTGGGCACAGTAAGTGTCCAAGGTTTAGAATATCTAAAAGCATTTTTTTAAAAGATATATTTTATTCATTTATGCATACAAGAGCTGAGGTTTAGGCCAGAGGTAAAGGGAGGGTGAGAGGATTCACTAGAGCCAGAGTGGGGAGCAGAACAGGAAGAGCTACTGAAATACTCTGCTGGGAATAGCAGCGGGTGAGACGGGAGAGGTCAGTGGTGCCCTGTGGGTCAGCTCCCTGGCTGGATAAAACTCATGCTGGTGTTACAGTGGCTGCGGACAGCTTCATAGCGCTGAGACTTAACTCCGTGTGCCTTCAGGGAGGCCCCACAGTGTAAATTCTTTAGTACCTATCATGTTTATAGAATTTACTGCTTATCAGCTTAGTGGGATATAGAGCTGGCAAGGGGTCATTAAATAATTGACACAAGCTTAAAATGGAAGCCAGTGACCCCACAGGCAGCCAGCTGCACATACTTTGTTTCTACACACGTCCATACATGCCCCACAACAAATCTCAGCCCTTAGTCTTCATAAAGGACCAAAATGGTGCCTGCTCCTTCCCCTCTCCCGCGTGTGCCTCTGTCTGCGTGGATTGTCAGTTATTTGGGAAAATGGAGCCTAACTAGTAGATTCCTTTTCAGAATAACCAGAAAACAAGACATAGGTTGTTAAATTTATTGCCAGTCGTGCCTGAGTTAGCTGTGTGTCACAATAGTACCATAGGAATTCAGGCCTTGAGGCATCAGTTTAGCCCCCCGTGAGACCTGAGAAGATTGAGACCTAGAGAGGGCAAGTGATTTATTCAGTACCGGGTAGTTGGAGGATGGCTTTGGAAAGGAGTGGGGCCTCCTCAAGGTTTAGTAACCTCCAGGTTGAGATTAAGGATGGAAAGAGAAGCAGCTGGTGGCCTGGGGGTACAGTCTTAGTGCTGTCACTGCTACCACCTGAATTCATTCCCTGGCTGGGGAACTAATCCACATACAGGCACCCAAGCAGTGTGTTTTCAAAAAAATCTGCCTGCTATGTTCCCTGCTCTGTCTCTGGTGAATCCTCTCACCCCACTACCTCCCCCCAACCTCTGGCCTACACCCCACTTCTTCTACATAATAAAAATTAAAAGAAGAAAGAGAAATAACTAAGCCAGCAGAGGGCAGATTATAGGCAAAGAGTAAAGAAAGAAAACAAAAAAGGTAAGGGATTTAGACTACCTAGAAATGACTGAGCAGGTCATTATTTCTTTAAATTAGAGACTGCATGGGCTGCAGTGAGATAAGGTCCGCTGCAGAGACCCACATGGGACTAACCACTGGGCTTTCCTTCCTTCTCTTCCTGCAGATATCCCACTGTTGAAAGAAGCATGAGGGCTGTCATCAGCCTCTCTCCTCCCTGCGATGGTCCTCTTTGCCTTTCCTCCCTCTCCCTGTGGGTTTGAGCACCCTGTACTCCAGCCACCTTGCCCGGATACCTGAGCTGCCACCTGTGTATCTGTGTATCTGTGTATCTCAGAGGGCCTGCAGGCCCATCTTGCTGGAAACCCAAGGAAGATTTTCGCCATCTGCCTGCTGGACAGCTGGAGGAACTGGCTTTTTGCCTGGCCCAGCCCTCCCATCTGTGTTAGGGACATATTTGAAGGTGTTGGGTCAAACCATTCCTTTCCCTGAGCCCTCTGGGTCCCCTCCAGCCAGCTCTTGGGTGGCAACCCCCACCAGCCTATGTGGGCCTAAGAGCCGCTGTGTTTACTTGTGCCTTCCCCCAACCCGTCCAGTTTTCCTGTCGCCAAGGCTTGTTGCTGTGCTACAAGCCTTAGTGGCTGCACGGCTGGCCCCTGCCCCTCAGGGGGCCCAGGTCTGGGTCTGGCCAGCTTTCCTTGGGTCTGGTACCACCACCTTTGGTGGGAACAGATCCAGAAGTGAGAGCTGTGGAGCCTGGAGTGGCTCTGATTGGGGCAAGAGTGTGGGCCCTAGCTTGCCCCTTGTTGATACTGGTGGTACTTTTCCTTGGTTGAGGATGGAGGATGCGGAAGATGATGTCAGAGCCATCCCAGCACCTGATGTCTAGCCTAGGGGGGCTGACTCTTAGACCTGTTGAGTTTCCAGGAAGCATCAGAAGATTCAGAGGGAAAGAACGTGGCTGATTGTTCTTCTAATATGCAAGTTCTCACTTCCTCCTTACACATCAGCCTCCCTGGCCTTGGTGTTTGCTGTTTCCCCAAAGTATAAGGGGAAGTTGCATGCTGCCTCCTGGGTGTTATCCTGGGCAGCTTTGGCTGCCTTGCTGCCCATAGTGACCTGAATGAATCATCCCTGGGACAGGAGAGTTGCTGAGATACTACAGAAGGCCCTCTGGTCACTGGCATGTAGGGCCCCTTTCAGAGTTTGTGCAGGGGAGGGGAGCCTGAGAGTCCCAGACTGAGCCTCCCCAGGCAGCTGCAGGCAGCAGCCCGGTCCTGAGGGTCCTCCTCGCCACAGTCACGTGCCTTAGTACCTGTGCCCAGGAAGCCTCCTGCTGCTTGCTGTGCTGCTGCTTTTCCTGCATCTGCCCTCCCCGCCATCCTTCCACCTGCCACAGCTGACTTAGGACTGGTCTTCCCCGGCTCCTTGGCAAGGGGCTGAGCGTTTGCATACACCCACCCTTGTCGGCCTGCTTTGGAAGAATGGGGCCCTGGTGTTGAAGGCGTGGACTCCGCACTCTGGTGCTTCTGCTTCAACAGAAGGCTGACAAAGTCTAGGGCTGCTGCTGACTTCAAAGGATGTAGCATTAAGGAATGTTTGTTTTGTTTTGTAAGCACTGGGGCTGGACACTTGAAGCTGCCCCAGGCAACACCTCTGCCCCTCCCCCAGCCTCTGTTCAGGGTAGTAAAAATAATAAAGAGCCCAAAATACTTTCAGTACCTGACCTAACAGGGTAGCTCCAGGCATGGGCAGCCTCAGAATCGAGGGGAATGACCTCTCAGCCTCTGCCCCACTCTTACATATGCACTTTACTCTGCTCATCCAGGCCTCTCGCCGCCACCTGTAGTCTTCCTTCCTCTCAGGGTAAGGGCAGTGCCTGCGTGCCTGTGGTCATTCCCACTCTCCCCTTCCCCACCCAGGAGCCCTTGTGTGCTGTGCCCATAGTGCAGGGCAGTGTGGTTAGATAAGGAACAGGTTGGTGCAGGTGCTAGAACTAGAGCACAAGAGCCTTTGAGGAAGAGGAAGCACGTGCGGCGTGTGCACGCAGCCTGTGCCTGCATTGGTGTCTGTCCTTGGCTTCAGGAGAGGCTGTTTCCTGCAGCTGCTGGTGCTGGTCCCATCGGGAGGGGTGTCAGTGATGGTGCCAAACTGCCTCACCACAAATGGGCTCTCCTCCCACCATGGTGCCCCCTGTCTGCCTCAGAAAGAAAATAGGGACAAGTGGTGGCAAAGCCAGTCTCATACCGAAGTTGCAGCTTTTATTTCCAGTCCTGTAAAATCTGTATTCTAGAGTGTGTTTTTAATGAAAGATCTTACCTAGTTTTTTTTTTATGTATCATTTCATTTTGAGTTTATTCAGCTTAACCCTTAAAAAGTAAAAAGCCTGCCTTATGAAGCTGCCTACTACCTAGCCCGCCATTAAATTACCCGAGTCACAAGCCCAGACTTGCTTACCTGATAGGAGAAGAAAAAGCCTGGAGCCTCCCCACTGTACCCTACCCCCACTGGCTTTGATGAGGCCCACCTCAGGGCCTCTGGGCCTGTGGGTGCAAGAATCAGGCCTCCCGTTGCTGCTGACTTCTTTTTAGGCTTCTCACAGTTAGTTTGCTTTTCCCTGAAGCAGTTTGCTTAGCTGTCAGCCATGTGTGCTGCTGTTTCTAGGGCTTCTGGGCTTTGTCCTCTGGGAGGGATTAGGGACTCCACAGCTGCCTTGAGGTGGGGCCTGTTTTGAAGGAGGCTGCCAGAGGATCTGGAGCAGGTGGGGAAATTATCCATAGCCTCTTCCCCGTTCACCTCCAGCAGAGGGCTTGTCCAGAGAACATGATCAGCACCAAAAGGTGATAAAAAGGTGTTTTTGCACATGGGAGGTGAACTAATACAGGTTTTGTATCCTGACAAATTGTAGTCACATCCCACTGACTTTCACAGGCCAGTATATGGTGAAAATCGCCCAGAATTCATCCCTTTCAATGCCACTTTAGAAGGTAGGCTCTGAAGTTTGTGTGTGGTATTCCCATTTCACTGGGTATAAGCTGTGAAATGGACGGAATCTTGGCACTTCAAGTCCTTTTGGTTTTATAAGGCATTTATGTGCATTGTAACACTCCAGTTGCAAAAGGAGCTTCCCTGTTCATCTTGCCCTCCTCCCCTCACTGTCCCTTCCACTTTAAAGTTCTGTGGAGAAGCTGGATGGCAAGACAAAGGTATACTTTTCCTGCTTCATTAGTAGTGGCACAGGGACAGATGACACGCAACCCTTCCCCCCACACCACCACCCAGCTTTGCTCTCAAACCACTTGCTGCCACACAACAGTGTCACAGCCATTCCCAGAGAGTGGCCCTTGCAGAAAAGATGGAATATGCTGTGTGAGTATTTCTACATCCTTGCTTGGCCTTTTTTTCCCCTTGAAGAAAAAGTGCCTAGTAGGGAAGTAGTACTGGGGCTTGGCAGCTTAGTTCCAGATGTGCTTGCTGAAGACAGCGAGGCTGGTCACTGAGCTTGTGGGACCTGCTGAGACTCGTGGCTCTTGGCTTAGGGACAGTCATTTCTGGCGCCCTGGGAGGGGCATGGGATTTCACTTGTAGGTGTGTGGACTGAGTGGTACCGTAGCGGATTCCCCAGCGAAAGGCAGCAGGCTCAGCTGTGCTGGGAAGCAGGAGCTCTTAATCTCCAGTGGAAAATCTTGTCGAATATTGAACAAAAATGTCCAGGTGGCACCCTCTGCTAGACAGCAGAGTTGCTGGAGGGGATGCAGTGGCAGCACACTCGCCTTGCCAGGCAGGGAGGAGAGATGGCCACGGGTCACATGGAGGCCCACTACACCTGCCCTGAACTCTTACCGCACCACTATGGAATCCTTTGCAGAATGGTACTCATATGTAATGGTTTAAAACGACACATGCATCATTGGCTCTGTGCAGGATGTCAATCAACTTCGGTTTGCTTTATTTTATTTTATATATGTATTTTTTGGTATCCTGTACAATGCAGTGGGTGTGAAGATAGTATTTTAATATTTGTACAAAGTTTAATTTAATTTTAATTGTTCTATGTATATAACTGCATTTCTAAATAATAAAAAAAAATTCTTATGGAAGCAGTTGTGGGATATGTGATCCTTCTACAAGGTTTCTGCAGAGCCTTACGGAGAGGATGTGGAATGTGTTGTGAACATTTCTACATCCGTGGCCTTTTTTTCCTCAGAGAGAAAGGGAAGTGGCACTTGGACTTGGCGGCTTAAGTTCCAGATGTGCTTGCTGAAGGCAATGAGGCGGTCACTGTGCTGTGGGACCTGCTGGCACTTGTGGCTTTGGCTTAGGGAGGTGTATAGGTAAGAGTGCGTGAAGGGTGGCACACTTGCTCTGTAAGGGGTGCCTGGCAACAGATGGGACAGGGAGGTCATCTGTGCTGCCAGGAGGAGAGCACAGACAGAACTGGAAATGCACCCCCTCACTTCTCGCTAAGTGCGTGCAGTGTGCCAACTACTTGCTCAAGCTGGGATTCAGCAGTGAACAGACCTTGTGTTTGGGGCCTGTGTGGAATTTCTAATATGCTGGCAAGGCAGGCAGTCCCAGTGCGCGTGTGGCTACAGCCTGGGACGTGCAAGGTACGACAGGGGTGGCGGTGTGGCCAACAGTTGAAATGTGAGGATCAGTACAGTGAGGCTGGGGGACAAACCGCTACATTTGTGGGTAAAGAGGCTTCACAAACTGAGAAGCTCAAAAACCAGTGCCTGAGGCAGGGCCCAAGGAGAATAGCTCAGGATGAGCCCAGGTGGGTAAGTGAGAGGATGGCGTAGTGAAGGAGGCTGAGGGTGATAACACTGCTCTTCTGAAGAATAAATGTAGGGGGTAAAACATACTGTACCTGGAGACCAGGTAAGTTGTTGGTCTTGTAAGGAAGAAGGTAGCTTAGGCCAGGTGAGTAAACAGTACCGTTCTCAGAGGTGGGGAAATGGAATGTCTGGGGAGGAGAAAGTTGGGAGGTAAAACAATGAAAAGGTAGAGACGAGAAGCTAGTGCCAGGAAAGAGGCCAGCCTTGCAGCAGTTAGTGGGTGCGAGGGTTCATGTAGAGGGGCATGCAGAGCACTTTGGGATCAGGAAATCAGGTGCCCTTACCCTGGCCCTGGGCACTGGCGGGGACCGTCATGATGTGTTTCCCTAATGCAGTGTTGGCTGGGGGAAGCTTAGAGTTATCTCTCTACCATCTACCCAGTCCTAGTCTTAACCTCAGTAGCACCAGCCCCTTGTAGGATCCATGCAACGTGCTATTAGTTCCCAGAAGGGTGAAGGAAAGAGCACTTGACCAGCTTTTCAAAGGAATGGTGATAATAGTCGATTCAAAGCACTGTGTAGCAGGCAGATTCGATGTTCTTTGTTAGGCATGTGAACCTCAGGGAACCCACAGATGGGCGCCATAATTGCCTCTAGCCCTGTGCGACCTACAAGGAAACGCAGAGTTGTGTTAGCACATCAGCGGTGAAGCCAAGTGGTTCCTCAGACACCCCTCCTCCCCCCAACCAGACTGCCTGCCTCTCAAGGTCCTGAATGCACTACTTCTGCCTTAGACTGTTCTAACCATTGGGTTTTGTGTAGAAGAAAACTGACTTAAAGGCCTGGAAACAGCACACTTTCTACTGGGATTATAAGCAACAACTCACAGAATAACATGTGCTAAACTCCACCCCTTTCTGGGGGCGGAGTAACAGGCATTTTAAGTTATGCAGAGCCTCATAAAACATTCTCAAAAGCAGCAAGAGTTGTTTCTTCACTAGGAAAAAAAAAAGAACAAAGACATTCAGTGACTGGGTAGTTGTCTTTGTCTCTGGAAACAGAACAACGGCAAAACGTCCCAACAGGTAAGGAATTTGGGAAGGGGAGACTTCATGTGGGTTCAGGTTTGGGGTTATGGCCTCTCCCTGGATGACAGGTGAGGGGGACCAAGGTAACAGCCAGCAAAACCTGCAGGCTGCTGGGAAAGGCTGACTTTTGAAGTGGTGGCCTTGGGTTGGAAAAGGGAAGGGGAGAGAAAAGGAATGTCCTGCTCTGCTTCCCAGCCCCATCTCCCAGTATGGAAAGTTTTGATCCCTGGAAAACAATAGAAGTAGTAACGATCTGTCAGGTGGGGCTCCTCAGAGTACTTAAAAATATCCTCAGGCACACCAAAGTAAAACATTCATTTCATAAAGTTAAACTCACCCATAATACTACATCTAGTGGTAGTGGTCTTAGGTAGGTAGATAGATGGATTGATAGATAGAATCCGTCTTTAAAGAAATCACTCTTTAAAGAAATCACTTCAATAGTTAAAGTTATTTGGGATTTTTAAACTATACTGCAACCCCCCCCTCATCATTTTTAATGGCTACCTATCTTTCTATTATATTGTAGTTTGGACTTTAATCTTGCCCCCCATTTTTTTTAAACTTATGACCAACCGCCTAATAGCATTTTTATTTATTTCCTTTGAATTAATTACTGGAGATGCTGAATGAAAAGAAGCTCACATTAAAATGTGATATACCCACTGGCAGTGTTCATTTCCCACAACTTCACAAGCAATGGGGATTGTTTTAAAAGTATATGCAAAATTAAAAGAAAATATGCCCATTGAAAGAAAATGGTATTGTTTTGATTCATATTTGTTAATTAAAAAATAGTTCATGGAGCTTCAGCTAAGTGCCTAGAAAGCTGAGGGAGGAGTTGTTCTGTTTGGGGGTAAGGAGGGAGGTTGAGGGCCTACATTCCCCTGAGGAGGTACCAGTGCTTTGCATGGGTAAGGATGGAGTGAATTTCAGTGCTGTAGGTGGAGCTGAGGATGGGAAGCAGGAAGAGGAGCGCTTGCCAGATACACGGAGAACTATAGAAGCAAATTACCAACATATTAAAGTGTGAATCATGATGCATTGCCATTTATGCAATTTAACCCAAAAGATCAAATATGGGCAATTTCAATCTAATATATAATTGATTTAATAGCTGCTCAAATTAGAAATGCCTTTTTCCTCTGGAATGATGAAATCTTAATTATTTTAATCACAAAGTTTCAAGACACCCATGGACAAGGGTCCGGAGAGCCCCCCTGCCCCATGGCCTGTTCCCTATAAAACCAGAGCACAGGGCACAGCTGACTTCTGGTCTCTTGCATGTAGGGAGCGCCTTCAGAAGTCACAGGAGCGGCTCAAGCCTGCAGGACAAGGGCCAATTTACCTGCTGTTTGAGGAGTCCAGTCTTGTAACCAAGTGTCTACCAGCAACAGCCAGGCAGTCATTCTGACAATAAGAAATGTTTTCAGAGTTCACCTTAGGGCAGAAAGTGAGGCTTATCCAGCTCTTAACACATTTCCTTATCCAGTTTCCCAAATCTTTCATTACAAATGTTCAAAAATAACCAAGCTACATTATAGTAAGAGTAATACATATATATAATAAGCAATACATATTATACACACATACACATACACATATATACGTGTTTGTGTGTGTGTGTATACCAATCAGATAGGCAAAAGAAAAAGCCCCAAAATATCACTGGAAGTATAAATTAGTACATTCTTAATAGAAGGCAATTTGGGGTCCTCCCTGGTGATGCAATGGGTTAGGACGCAGCACTGCAAGCTGGCCACAGCCGCTTGAGTGTGAGTTCGATCCCCGGCCTTGGAGATGATCCACGTGGCGTGGCAGACCTCTCCTAACCTGCCCACTGCTCCCCACTCTGTCTGGTGAAGCCTCTTACCACCCCTGCACCCCTGGCTTATACCCCAGTTCTGTATGACTAAATAAAAAGAAGGTGATTTGGCAACAGCCATCAAAAGTACAAAGCAGTTCCTCTTTCTTTCTTCTACTGAACAATTCTAAAGTCTTTAAATGGGTGTAGTTAAAGTTCAGAAAGGGAAACAAATGAAACAAACAGAAGAAAGCCTGCAGAATCAGATTGGAACTGTGGGCATTGCTATGGCTACCTCAGGTCCTGATCTACACACGTAAATACTGACGTGACGTGTACTGTGTGTATGTACTACACAGATACTGCCCCCACTTCCAGAGGGCTTGGACCGTGACACCGCCATGCTGCGCAGAGTTCACATCTTGGCCTTTAAATACTAGTCCCCACTCCAAGGAACCAGGACTTCTTAGAGAAATGACTGATTCCAGAGCTGAGGCAGGAAGATTCCCAGATGAGCCTGGAACATTTTGTTGTGCCAGAAAGCCAGAGAACGCCCAAAGGATGATGGGTATCTGCCCAAAGAACTCCCCCTGACCAAATAAGGAATAATCTTGGCATCAAAACCCACAGTGGTGGCAGTGGAGTCTAACCCACGGAGTAAAACAGTCCACGCAGATAAACAGAAGCCTAGAGGATGGTACTTTCATCAAGAAGGACAAATGAAAACCACATACCACCAGGAAGCTGTAGCAGGGGAACCGGCATCACTTCCATGGTATTTCCACCAAAAGCGAACCTAAATCTAATCACGAAAATAATGAGATTAAACCCAGATCAGCATTCTACAACATAATTGGCTTGTCATCTCCAAACTGTCAATGTCATGAAGTCAAGTAAAGACCGAAGAGTCCTCCGTTTGGAGGGAAGAGAAGGCGAGCATAATTCCCAATGCACCTTTCCCCCGAAAGAGGTGGCTAGCACGATGGTAAGACTTGAATGGACAGTGAGCTTAGGTGGCCATCAGGTATCAGTGTCAATTTCTAGATATGTTGGTTCTCCTATGGTTATTCAGGAGAATATCTTTATAGGAAATCTAGTTTCCTGTGTTGTATTTGAATGGAACTAGGCAACATGCCCCCCAAATGATTCAGGAAACTTTCTGTATGTTTGTGAGTGCTTCTAAATTAAACCATTTACTTAAATTAAAAAATTTAAGTACAAAGCACCTTTTGAACTGGAAATTTTACTTTCAGGAGTTTTTCCTACAGATAGCCTTATTCACGTGGAAGATATGTGTACAAAATATTCACTGTGATTGTCTAATACCAGCAAGGTTTGAAAAGAGTCTAAATGATCATCACGGCCTGTTTCAATACACCCAGACATAAAATGGACACAGAAAAAA